AAAAGCGTGGTTATTACACAAAGGCTCTATCCATAGCTATCTTAATTGTGGGTTTGATCGTTAGGAATAATTGTATGCATAGTATCAATAGAAAGATGAAAGAAACCGACGTACATTGCACTCATGAAGGACTGTGAATCATATTTCTGTCACTACACTGTTGAATGTTATGTATTAGCTGGTAGATGTCATATTATACTTTTGCGAGAATCGTCGGTTGGCCTTGAAAATTTGACTTTGAATTCGCTAGGAGGCACTTCCACTTATTTAAGGAAGACTTTCAAGAAAAGCTTATCGAATTTGGATTAATCAACTTTTGAGCACATATGATGAATCATAAAGTAATTGCAGAAGTGACCTAGCTCCACAGAAGAGAACATTTAAGTAAGCCTACATCTACTACTGCGTAAAGTGATGGAGTTTCACTAGATCAGAGAAAATATACACCACTACAGCAGTTAATATTATTTTATTCCTTCCCCTCATTGTTTCTTTTCAAGAAAAAAAGGAAAGCAAAATCAATAACTCAGGGGTCCAAATAAAATGTACATTACAGTAGGTGATACCGGAGTTTAACCTAAACTACATCGCAAGAAACAAATTTATTAATGACTTAAGCGGGTACAATGTGATTGTTGAATTCCGAAAGGATTACAAACATGACACTAGAAAAGTAGGAAATAAATGATGAACAACATGATAAAACAAACAAATAAAGACAGCCCCACAGCTGGATGGCGGTCGGCGAGGAAAACAACGACTAGAAGGGTTCCTAAGCGAAGCAATAGGGTCGGTGGCCTGCTAGCTGGTGGTAAGCGGCTACTAGGAGAGCCAAACTGGTGTTGGGAAGTGTCGGATGGGCTGTTGGAGTGTGGTTGGTGAGGGACACAGCGACTGAAAGGAGTCCTAAGGGAAGTAGCAAGGTGGCAACAGTTTTTTTTTTGGGGGGGGGGAAGATGGCTGGGAGGTGACTAACCGCTATAGGTGAGGGTTGTGGTTGCTGCAGGAGGGCTGGTAGGTGGCTAGCAGCTGTAGGGGAGGGATCGCGACTGCTGTAGGATAGCTGGGAAGTGGCTGACAGCTGTAGGAGAGGTTGCGGGGGTCGGGAGATGGAACGACAGCTGTGGGGAGGGTTGTGGTTATTGTAGGTGAGCTAAGAGCTGGCTGAGAACTATAGGGAACTGTGTGGGGGGGGGCGGGGGGGGGGGGGGGGGGGTTTACGAGATGGATCAACAGCTGTAGCGGAGGGGTTGCGGTTGCTGTAGGAGAGCTGGGAGGTGGCTGACAGCTGTAGGAGAGACGTTGCGGGGGCCAGGAGATGGAACGACAGTTGTAGGGGAGGAGCTGCGGGGGTTGTAAAATGGAACGACAACTATAGGGGAGGGTTGTGGTTGTTGTAGGTGAGCTAAGAGGTGGCTGACAACTATAGGAAAGAGGCTGCGGGGTGGGGGGGTGGTTACGAGATGGATCAACAACTATAGGGGAGCTGCAGCGTTTGTAAGATCGAACGACAGCAGGAGAGAGGAGGTATGGCAAGATAATTATCTCGGCAGGTCGAGATACAGTCTGAGCACCACTCGTACCCATGGAGATGATCGCCACCTCGGACAAGGAACAGTCGAAGCACTCCCTCAAGAGGGAAAACACTCCAACAAAACTGAATTCTGATTTCACAAAACAACCCCTAACTCAAAGCACAACCTTTTTTATTTATAAAGAGACATAATCTATCTTAATAAACACTAAAATAAGAAGGGGAGTAAATTCGAATTTCAAATATGAGGAAAATATTTAAATTAGGAAGGAAAATAAAAATTAGATTTCAGTTTTTAGAAATGGTTTTAAATTAGGAAGGTAAATAAAAATCAGATTTCAGTTTTAGGAAATGTTTTAAATTAGGAAGGAGAATAAAAATCAGATTTTAGTTTTATGAAAGATTTTAAAATAGAAAAGGCTTGGAAAGGAAAGTAAGAAAGGAAGGAAATGAAAGAAAAAGGAAAGAAGTGTAAAAGGAAAGGAGGGAAGAGGAAGAAGAAAAACCTGTCATTCTCCCGGGATTGGGGGAGCTTCGACCTCATTCGTTGAAGCTTCTGAATCCTCGTGGTACGACGGTAAGTCCTCTAGTAGGTCGATTATGTCGGTGTAGTCATTCCACAACACATTCTAGTAGAATAGATAGCCATCCTCTTTTGGCACATCCTGGGCTGGAGTTGCATATAGATGGTGGTTTCCGTAATGCAACTATCAAGCCATTACATTTGAAATCTTGAGGAGAACTCAATTATGGGATGAAATATGTGGCAAGCTGCACCACTCTCACTAGCATCTCCTCAGGAGATACCTCTCCATAGATAGGACCTGGATGACATTGCAGAATTTTCATCCCCATCAAACTCTTCGGGCCCACTACAAAGTTGGGATTCAGCTCTTTTGTCAAGACATCTGACGATATGTTCTATGTTGGACTGATATTACCCTTTGAATAATCCCCCGTAATATTTCTAACATGGCACAAAATGACTACTATTCGGATATGTTGGACCCCCCGTAGAGATAACTCAGAAAAAGGTCTAACCATCTGAAAAAGTTGTATTTCTTGTATTTTTCGTGGCCCTGTATCTGATGTTGGCTTTTGAAGCTCGTGATCCTTCTGGAGTGCCAAGGTTAGTCCTGCTATAGCTACCCTCAATGCCTCTAAAACGGTATCTAGAGGTGTCACAGTTTCATTCTCTAGTTAAACACTCTTTATATTGAGGGCACTACCTTCCAGAACGACCTTTATTACCTCAGTTGAAAAATATCTTGGGATCTACTAGAACTGTTGGTGTTTCTTCCTTGCTAGCTGCAAAGTGGAGAATCCTCCCGGAAGTCTTCAACTTCTCCCGTATCATTTTTGTCATTGCCCAATTTTTCAATAACACCATGCTCAGTGAAAAAGATACCTCACCTGGTTTTGCATTATGATTCCATATGCCCATGCCCAAATCCGTGACATTTGTAACATTTTCTTGTTGTGATAAGCTTGCGAATTGGTTTCCCTGGATAGTAGACTGATGGGATCCCTTGGTGCTGCGGACTCACCATTTCGGAATCTAGGAGTTATAACTTTTAACGTTAGTAAGTTGGTAGGAACTAACATTGTATTGCTCGCTTCATCTTTACATTTTCTCGTTCTTTCTTTTGACCTTCAGATCACGGTCAAGGGTAACCTTCCACTGAATTTTCTCTTCAATATTCTGAAGTCTTCGTTGAAGACGGCGGAGCTCTCATCCTGGGTAAGCTCGAGCATATATCTCATTAGTAGCATGGCTAAGGTTAAGGGTTGGGAGGTGAAAAGATGGTGCATGAGACTAATTGAAGGTGTATAAAATTTGATTGGGATTGCTGATTTTGCTGCAAAGAGAGTTTATGGATTGGTTTAGAATGGTTGGTTTAGGATAGAAAAGAAAATTTTTTCCAGTGGGGGTTAAGGCCGACGCTAGGAAGCCCTATGATAGAAGTAGGGTTGGGCTAGCTCTGATACCAAATGATACCGAAGTTTAACTCAAACCATGACGCAAGACACAAATTTATTAATAACTTAAAAGACGGGTACAATATGATTGTTGAATTCTAAAAGGATTACAAACATGACACTAGAAAAACAGGAAATAAACGTCAAACAACACCACAACACAAACAAATAAAGACAATCCTGCGGCTGGATGGTGGTCGGAGAGGAAAACGTCGACTAGAAAGGTTCGTGAGGGAAGAGGTAGGGTTGGTGGCCTGCTAGCTGTTGGAAGGCGGCTGCTGGGAGAGTCAGACGGGTGTTGGGAATAGTTGGATGGGCTGTTGGAGGGTGGTTGGCGAGGGAGACAGCAACTGGAAGGAGTCCTGACGGAAGTAGCAGGGCTGACAGCCGTATGGGAGGGGTTTGCGGTTACAGGAAGAGGGCTAGGAGGCTATAAGCTGTAAGCGAGGGCTGTGGTTGCTGTAGAAGGGCTAAGACGTGGCTGGCAGCTGTAGGGGAGGAGCTGCGGGGCTGTAAGAGAGCTGGGAGGTGGTTGGCAGCTTTAGGAGAGAGGCTACAGGGGCTAGGAGATGGAACGGCAGCTGTAGGGGAGGAGCTTCAGGGGCTGTAATATGGAACGACAGCTATTGGGGAGAGGCTGCATGGGACTGGGAGATGGATCGGCCGCTGTTGGGGGAGGAGCTGCAGTGGTTCTAATATGGAACGGCAGCAGGGGAGAGAAAGTATGGCAAGATAAATATCTTGGCGGGGTCGAGATACAGCCGGAGCACCGCCCGAACCTGTGGAGACGATCACCTATAGCTTTAGGTGGCTGGCAGCTTTAGGTTTTTCAACCGATCTCCTGCTTGTAGTTAGGGTTATTGTCTGCCATCTTTTCATAGAGGAAAATAATAGAATGTTTTGTGAATTCCACCTGCCTAAACTTCCGGACGTAGGGATGATGTAAACCTTCGAAAAGAGCAATTTTATCATTTTCCTCAAATTAAATGACCTATAAATCAAATGTACCTTTTGTTTGAGAAAGCTGATTTTGAAAATTTAGAAGTTACAAATCTAATGTTTCCTAAACTCTAGAACTAGAATGCAGCTTGACCAAAAGTTAAATTTAAAGAACTCTTTGGTTCCTCATTTGGGAAATTTTAATGCATACAACCGAATTTTATGCATTTACATATCTTTCACTTAAATTTTAATTTTTTTCTTCTGTAACACTCAAATCTATAAATCATTAAAAAAATATCACTAATATTAAATGTTCTTAAAGTGAAATTCACCTTTTCATGCATCCATTTTTTAATATTTGCTAATATAACACTTTGTTCTCTAAATTCCTTAAAAATGCCAATAAGGTTAACTCACATGTTTTGATGTGGTGATTATGACACTAAAGTTTATATGTATAATCATCTAAGTTTATGTTTTTGATATGTAAATGCATAAGAATTATATGTTATGCATGTAAATCCCCCTTTTGTTAATCTTTTTGCAGTTGAAACTTCAAGCCTCAAGGACAAGCAGATTGAAAACAGGGAAAATGAACAGGGCGCTTTATATAATTTTCTTTACCCTAGCAAGGAGCTTCTACCTGATGACAAAGAGATGAGCATTTTTGACCATTTAGAGGAGCTCCGTGATCGAATATTTGTGTCGGTTTTGGCTGTGGGGGGTGCTATCATAGCCTGCTTTGCATTCTCCAAGGATTTGATCAAACTCCTTGAAGCACCTGTCGCCGCTCAGGGCGTTCGTTTCCTTCAACTTTCTCCCGGGGAGTTTTTCTTCACTACATTAAAGGTTTCATACCTGTCAATTGTCGCAGCTTAAGCTCTAATTTTTATTCTCATCTTTCTTCGAAGAACTCAATGATTGTTCTGCTTAGAGAAAATATCAAAATAGTCACCTTCCTCTTTGCAGAGTCATTTTAGTCCCAATGTTCATAAAAGTGTCTCAGACTCTTTTAATATGGGTTCAAATAATTCTCACATAGGACTCTTTTAGCCTCAATTTAAATAGAGTGAAGACTAATTTGACACTTTATTGACACTAGAACTAAAATGGCCTCATGTAAACAGTTTTGATATTATTTTGACATTTTACTCATTACCATATCAATTTGATGTAGGTTTCGGGTTATTGTGGTCTTTTGCTTGGGAGTCCAGTCATTCTATATGAGATTATAGCATTTGTTCTTCCTGGTCTGACGAAGGATGAGAGAAGGTTTCTCGGACCCATTGTCTTGGGTTCTTCGGTGTTGTTTTATGCTGGCATTATCTTCTCCTATGCAGTCCTGGCGCCTGCAGCCTTGAATTTTTTCGTAAATTATGCAGAAGGTGCAGTTGAGTCCTTATGGTCTATTGATCAGTACTTTGAGTTTGTCTTAATTCTTCTGTTCAGTACTGGCTTATCATTCCAGGTAACTTTTCAGACATTCTAATTTTGGTTTTTTCTTTGTTTTTTTTTGGTGTGTAGTGATCAGTTTTACATCTGCCACTTGATTAAAAGCATTTTTTGTTGAAGGGAAGATTTACATACATACCACTCAATTCTTATGTATTTACATATTTAACACTTATACTTTGATTTTTACATATATGCCACCTTACCTATAAATGAAAATGTACATATCATTTCTTAAAAGTTAAGAAGTACAAATTTGATGTGATATGAAAGATTTGGGTGGTATAAATGTGACAAGCAAAATTTAGGTGTTGGGCATGTAAATATGTAAGAATAGGGTGATATGCATGTAGATGTCCCTTTTTTAAATTATCCGCTCTCTCATTGAACAAAAAAAAGAGTCTCGCCGAAGGCTATTGTCAAAATTATCTGCAAAGAAATAGGGTTACTGTTGAGAGTTATTATATAAGATTGGTTGTGTGTATAGAATAAACAGGAAAGAATAAATGAATGAAACTGGGTGATCATAAGTTAGAATTTTGCAAAATTTGTATATACAAATTGTTCCGCTTTTAGAAACGTAAAAATTTTCTGAGATGAATTAAATCAGTTAGAAGGTTTTTGCCAATATGATATGTTTAGCGCGGTGAAACAAAATTTGTAACTATCCAATTCACAATGTTCTTTGTCGTTGCTCTTTAATTGTCTCCAAAGGCAATTTTGAGTATCTCTCGGTGGGACTAAGAGAAGTACATCAAGACTAGGATGTGAGAAGAAAATAACATTGAGATTTCAAGGTTAGTTTTCTAAAATTACAATTAGATCAGTTATATTAAATGGATTGAAATGTTGGTTGATAAATAGTCACCAATAGTAAAATTAGATGTCATATATGTGAGAATGTTAAAAAGAGTTTTTTGTGGACCGTGGCAAACCTTAAAAAATTAGATTGAGAAATGATTATATGAGATGGAGTATTATAGTGACACCTTATAAAAATGAGGAAGTGAAAATTTAAACTTTGACAGTTTGATTAGAATTACACTCAATGAAGAGTAGACGATGGTATAATAAAATGAATCTATAAATAAATGTTGTAGAGATAGGATGGAAAGTAGCATTCACATCATTTTAGGATTCCTAGAAGGTGTATAAGGATCGGATTTAGCAGGGAGAGCTCGTAGAAAAGGAAGAGAAAGAGAATATGCAAAGTAGCAAAAGTTTGGATTGGGATTGAAGAAATTTGGTGATTGTCCAGGATTTAATACAACAAGGAGACTGGCCAAATGACGAGTTTGGTGAGGCACAATCGCTGAGGGAGATCTACCGCCTATTCTGAACAAACTACAAACATTCAACTTGCAAAAGGAAGATATAACACTCTTAAGGACAGAAAAATCAAAGAGCACAACTCCAAGTGTATAAACTAAAGTAAAAGTTAATCTATCATGTTATGAAACATACTCATACTAAGACATGAATTAAACCCCATTAGAAATCAAATATAGTAATTAAGGACCCATGGAATCCTATGATCCTGCAACAGGCAAGAATCTTTACGCTTCAGGCCTCACAGGATGAAAATCCCATCTTGATTTTGATAAGGATGTTAACCCAAAACCCAAAAGTGGAAGTAAATTTTATTATGCGAAGCAAAACGAGATTACAATCAACTATCTTGAAATAGGAAAGACACGACACAAACACAATTACTCCACTACGATGAGGTGGGAAGGCAGCGGTGACTAGGGAAGTAATGGTTGGAGGGCTATTCGGCAGCGGGACAACCAACTGAGCAACGAAGAGGGGCTTGGGAATAGCAACAACAAGTTGAGTGTGGTGAAGGAGGTGGCGACGACAAGCAGAGAGGGTGTAGGAATGGGCAATAGTAGGAAAGAGCTTGGAAGGGGCGGCGACAACAAAGGGTGGTGCATAAGGTGGTGTCAGCATGTAGGAAGGGTGCAGGGTGGGCGGCAACAAGCTAGAGAGGAGAACTGGAATGAAAATATGCGGAGATAATCATCACCTTGGAGCAGGATATAGTTGGAGCACCACCCTGTCGTTGGATACAATCCTAGCAAGGGAAAAGATGTCGACGACAAATAAAATTGAACTCTAATTAGAGAAAACAACATATAGATGATAGTAGTTAACAGGGGGGGGTGCAGGGGAGGCAATTCTAACCTAAAGGAAAGAGTTGAAAGCCCCTGATATCGCCCCAACTCAATCGAATCAGTCAACCTAGGTGAGTGCATCAGCTTTCGAGATTGGAGTTTCGATTTCATTCGTCAAAGCTTCTGGTTCCTCATAGCATGAATCAAATCTTTTATGTTGAAAGTAGAAAGTATTGTAGTCCACAGCTAAGTCAATCTTGTAAGCGTTGTCATTCAACTTCATGAGAATCTTGAAAAGTCTATCTGCTCTGGGTTTTAGCTTCCAGAAGGATCTTACCGGAAACCTTTCGTTCTTTAACCTACTCCACATTAGAACCCCTTCTTTGAAAGTCACCTTCTTCCTACTTTTATTTGCTTGTGTCTGGTACTTACGGTTTTGCTTGGTGATCTTTTATCCCACATTGTCGTGTAACTTCTGAATCTCTTCCACCCTCTCCTTATGGGTATTAAAAATAGACTGAGCTGCCTCCATCTGTTGGAACTTCTCCCTTTTCAGGAGTTCTGTAAGGGGAGTCGTGATGGTGTTGAAGCTTCTGATGAATCATCTATAGAATGATGCCAACCCGAAAATATGTCTCAATTGGGTAAAGGATTTTGGAGTATCAAGCTCACAATGGCCTCGATCTTTGCAAGATCTATCTGAATACCTGCACTAGACACATTATGACCCAAAAATCATATTTGTGATGTTAGAAAATGCCACTTCTTTGGGTGGGCATATAATTTTTTTTTATTCGCAAAAACTTCGAAGAACATACCCAGGCTGCAAGTGCTCATCTGTGGATCTGCTATATATGAGAATATCATTGAAGTGCAGCACTATAAATTTTTTGATGTGAGCTCAAAACACTTAATTTATCAACCTCATGAAACTGGTACCGAAAGGCATGCTGTCCAATTGTATAATCCATCTTGGGCCTTCAAAGAAGTCTTCCACCGATCCCCTGGTCTCATCCAGATCTAATGATATCAGTTGTGTAAGTCGATCTTAGAAAAAATAATGGCACCATGCAACTGATCCAACAGGTCATCCAAGGAAGGTATAATGAACTTGTATTTGATGGTAATCTTGTTGATAGGTCGACTATCAATGCACATTCTCCACGATCCATCCTTTTAGGCACCATCAAGGCAGGGGCAACACATGGGCTAATACTCTTTCTAACCAAGCTTCTCGCAATGGGATCATGTACCTATCGCATTAATTCCTCATACTTTGCAGGTCTCAATCTATAGGTAGATCTATGTGGCAACACTGATACAGGGATGAGATCTATGACATACTGAATATTCTTCAGTGGTGGCAATCCCTCTGGAAGGTTGTCAGTCATCACATCCTGAAAGTTAGCTACTAGTGGCTGTATAGGCTTTGATATCTCCATTTCCTCAGTTCCCTGACTAAAGTCATTGCCTATGAATCCTCTCATACTGATTGCATAAAGGTGGCTCGTGGGACTACCATCTAGTCTATGATGTCCATGCCTCTCGATTCCCTGATGAGCAAAAGAACTATGCATATCACATCATTTTTGAACGAATAAGTGTTCTTGAACCCGACGTATTGGGTCTTGCAGTCGAATTGTCATGGCCTCTCCAACAATATATGACATGCGTCTATGGGTACCACATTGCGCATGCCTTCTCCTATAGCTAATCTCTGATAGAAAACTTAACCAAGCACTATTGATCCACCTGTATCTCATTTCCCCTTTCAATTAGGTAAGGAAATGTTGTTGAGAATGCTTCTGCATTGTCAAATCCAGCTTCTTTACCATCAATGAAGATATCATATTCTCACAACCCCCACCATCAATAATCAGGCTATAGATCTTTTCTCTCACTGTACACTTGGTGTGGAAAGTGTTGTCTTAGCTACGAATGATACTTCTCCGATTCGGTCTCTAGGATCGTCCTTATAACTAGCATTTATCCTTCATCTCCCTAGAGTTGGAGTCTCTCCTCTTGATCCTCCTCTGCTTTCTCCTTGCTCACTTCCTCAACGACACACTGTTCAGTGAACGAAACAATTCGGCTCGTGAGGCAACTGGGGCTATGTTTTTTTGTGGCACCTAAAACATCTCCTAGCAGGCATTTATTGGTCAACTTACTCTTCTCAGGCTTCTTTCCGCTCAGATTTGTCTTATCACTTCCCTGTCCAGTCTTCCAAACTCCTCCATATTTACCCTTGTTGGTACCTGTAGCTCTAGGTTGTCGTCTGAATGAGGGCGGTTCTCTACTTTATTTCCGTTGTCTCTCCACCTTCAAGCCTAAGGCTTGGATATCTCTCTGTGACCAACGAGGCTGCAATTGTATAATGTTACTGATAGTTGGCTTTAGTCCTCTCAAATATCCAGTTATGGTATGTTCCTCTGGTGACCAACTCGCATTTCATCTAAAGTTAGTCAAGCTGTGACGTGAACTCTATTAATAGAACTCTATTGTATTTGTTGGAGTATCAGAGAAATATCCTGGCGATAGTGAGGATGTAAGTATTTCCTCTCCATCTCCATCATCTTCTCTCATCTGCTAATTTTGTCAGTTCTCTCTTTCTTTGCCTCTGCAAATTTTTCCACCACAAGGAAGAGTTCTTTTTCAATTTTATAGTCGCGGGCTTCACCCTCATGTCTTCTACTAATTTTTATACTTGAAGATACTCTTAACCTACTACAACCATTCGATGAAATCATCTAGATCTATCCCTTTGTCGAACTCCAATAGATCCATTTTCATTTGAAATATCTATGTTCTCCATACCTCACCTCCATTCTCAGCCTTCTCTAGTAATGAATTTTGAAGCATCAGGGTTGGTTTTCTTCATCACTGAATCCCTCCTTATGGAAGGGGTTCTCATTCTCTTTATTTCTCTTCTTTGACTCTCCAAATCACTATGAAGGGTAATCTCCTCCTGGGTCACGTCGTCAATCTCCGGAAGCCTCTACTGTATCTCTTATCGGGTAAGTTTCAGCATGTGTCTCCTAGGTGGCATTGTTAGAGTTTGGATATGTGGGAGTGGGAGAGGGTATAAAAATGGGAACAAAAACAATTTGGTGGGTGGAGGGGAGTTTGGGATTTGGCGGCTGCTAAAAACCCTAAGATAGGATTAGGGTCAGGCTAGTTCTGAAACTAAATGAGATCGGATTTTAAGCCAAATCCCAATAGGGGAAGTAATTTTTTTTACACGAATCAAACCGAGATTACAATCAACGACCTTGAAATAGGAAAGACATTACACAAACCTAATTACTCTGCTAGGGTGGGTAGGAAGGTGGTGATGTCTAGGAAAGTAGTGATTGGAGGGCTATCCGGCGGCGGGACAGCTGGCGGAGCAGTGGCAAGGGGCTTGGGAAGGGTGGTTGCAGGCTTGGGGTGGTGAAGGAGGTGGCAGCTGCGACAGGCTAGGGGTGGTGCAGGAGGTGGCGACACAAGTAGGAGGGGTGCATGGAGGGTGACAACAAGCAGGTGAGGAGAACAGGAGGGAAAAATGCGGAGATCGAAATCATGTTGGAGCAGGATACAGTTGGAGCACCACTTGCAGATATAAAAGTAGCAAGGAAAAAGAAACCGACGATAGAAAAACTGAAGCAAAAACTGAACCCTAATCAGAGAAAAATAAAAAAACTTATATATAATAGTAGATAATTGGGGTCAGGTCACCCTGGTTCAGCCCCACGTAAGATTTTGATCCCACCTCCAAAGGATCATGGGTTCCATCCCCAATATCAAAATAAGATATCAAAAAGCACTTAGCTTGTAAAAAGAATGAATGCAGAATAAAAACTCATAAAAGCCACTCCAATTAGTTTGGTTAAGGTCAATGATAATAATGATTATGTACAACAATATATTAATTATAGAGTAAAATGCCAAAACAGCCCCCTAACTATTTCATGGGGCCATTTTAATCCCAAAGTCTATAAAATATCAATTTAGTCCTCACACTCTTTAAATTGGGGTTGAGATAGTCCTATTTCAGCTCGATATTAAAAGAGTGGGGACTAAATTGACACGTGCAGAGACTATGAGACTAAAATGACCCAGTAAAAAGCCGGGGTACTATTTAAAACCTTTCTCAGTAATTGTCATACTCCTATTTGACAAGTAAAATGAGAAATTTCAATATCAACCTCACCAAATCTTCTTATTTCTCTAATATTATTTCAGGTTCCAGTTATTCAGCTTTTGCTGGGGCAGTTAGGTTTGGTATCAGGGGATCAAATGTTATCTATCTGGAGATATGTGGTGGTTGGAGCAGTTGTTGCTGCTGCTGTGCTCACACCTTCAACTGATCCCCTCACACAGGTACTGCTGGCAGGGCCATTGATGTGTCTCTACCTGGGTGGCGCTTGGATGGTTAAGCTCATAGGCCGCTGATCATTTAAAATCAATTAAAGCCTATTATGTTGAACTTATTATCTCCATTTTTATATGGTGATATTGTCAGCAACTGTATATATTTTGCTGAATTTGGATGTATTATTGGCTAAGCTTGTCTTTTTTTCTTTTTCATGGTGGTGGTTAGGGATAATTACATTTGATGCTGCAAGTAATAAAAGAAAGAATAAAAGAAAGTTTAGGGGAGATTATTTTTTGTAGGGAAATTTACATATCTCACATTTCTTCTGTTTTACATATACAACAACTTAAAGATGATATTTATATTTCTAACACTAGTGTCCTACACCAAAACTGGGTGCAAAAAAGAAACCAGGTTGACCGAGTGGATAAATCAGAAATGCAAAAACAAAAAAAGCAATTGGAGCAGAAAATGCAATTGCATTATAAGATCACAATTGAACAGAACGGGCAAGTTCAAATCAATGCATGAGAATGTGTGTTTTACTTATATGATGTCCGTAAGGCTGATATTTTTTATGTGATGTTAAAAATTTGAGTATTATGCATGTAAATAAGAAAATGTACGCATTAAATATGTTGTGTTATGTATGGTGAATGCACCTTTTCTGTAATATTTTATTGTTGTTACAATTTGAGATGCGAATTCTATTTAATTTGGATTCTGGTGAACATATGTGGTACAGATTAAATAATGAGAAATTTTGGGGCATTTACGTCGGGAGAGGAAATATTGGGCCAAAAGGATTTTACATTATGCCATATAACTAGTAACTTTTCACTTAGATACTTTCAAAATAGTGAATTTCTTCCTTTTATTCATGATTTCTTACAGTTTTTCACGTAAATAATGTTTTATGATATTCTTCATTGTTATTGTTTCACTTAAAGAATGTCTTTACTGCTGATTAATCTATAAAATCTCTGCAACATAAATTTGTTACAAGGAATTAATCAGTTCAGGCTTTATGTTTATTAGGATTGCATTATAATTTCAAATTCAAGAGCTCTGTTGATTATGTATATATAACCCAGTTGTGAAGTTAGAGCATATATGGCAGTGTCTTTTTAGGAAATTTTGTAGTTTTATCAGAATATTTTTGCAATATACACAAAATTCTATAAGCTAGACTTTTGAATTCAAAAACTTCCTAGTTTAAAATTTATGCTCTCAATTAACCATTTAACCTTTACATTTTGTAATGTTACAACATCAGCCTACCAAAATTCATATGACAAGACTTACACAACTCACATAACTTCATCAGTTCAAGTTTTGCACAAAAACATGAGACTTCACATATTACAAAGAAAGCCTGCCCATCTCACTAATCACATCCCCACAAGAACCAGACTCCATTTTCCTCAAAGAACTCCGCAAACCTTCAATTGATGCCAAAAATCTCTCATCTGAACCTCCAACTGCCTCAACAACTTTCTGTATCTCATCCATAACAACATACATCTTCTTAGCCGTTGATTTCAGCACAGAAATCTCTTGTGGCGGGTAAACTGAAGCACCCAACTCATTAGCCTGGTTCCCAATTTCTTCACAGCAGCTCAGCAATCTCTCCAAATCATTCACAAGTCCCATATTCTCCTCATTTGATCTCTTATGCAGCACAGAAACAAATCTGATGACCTCCTTCAAGACCGCGAGCGCGTCTGAAACAGCTTTGGCTGTTAATTGGGTGACGAACATCTCTTCGGGGGAAAGATCACTGCCAAATTCATCTTCTTCATCTTCGTCATCTCCAGGTGAAGTGTCAGTTGAGACGTTGGTGGCTGCAGGCTTGAGCTCATTCATTTCGCGGAGAATATCTTTAACTGAGACAGCGATGTGGGTTATGGTGCGGCCAATGGCAGTGCTGTTGGAAGTGGGGGTTTTCTTCAGATTGGCAGATGCTTCCCAGACAGAACCAGATAGCTGAGAGATGGATGAGCTCTTGGTTGATTTGTTTGATGCTGCAAAGGTAAATTACTGAGATCAGAATGTTTTGTGTTTGATTAACATGCCACTCAATTCCTATGTATTTACATATTTAACAATAAAAGTTCAGTTTTTACAAACATATAAACTTAGCTATGCATGAAAAGGTCTATTTCACTTTTTTAAAGTTAAAATGATGATATTTTTGATGTGATATGAAAAGATTTTGGTGGTATGAATGTGAAAAAGCAAATTTTATGTGTTAGATATGTAAATTCATTGGAATTGGGTTGTATGTAAATGCCCCAGAATAGTTTAATCAGATATCCTAGTTAATAGAAATGATTAATAAAATGCTTACTGCATGTTTAATATAAGTTATAAGATAGCTCTAATGTTTATTAACGCGATGGCAGGGAGAAAATCATGCCTCTGAAAGCTGCAATGGAGAGATTTTCATCCTCAAAATTGGGAAGTTTATGGTTTATTTCTATTCTTTGTAGATTTGGAATAAAAATGGACATTTCATGGCTTTTTAATCTGTTTTTGAAATTATTATATATTTGTTATTCCAAAACAGAAGGGAAGGGAGGATTTAAATTATGGGTAGTAGGAATTTCTTGCTCTTTCTAGGAATTTGAATGATGGGTGAGTAAACATTTGAATATTTGATTGATGTTGAACACAATAAACTTTTTATTTGTAACAGGGGATATAATAAAGAATCATTCTCTTTCTCTCACTTCTCTATGTTTTTCATAGTTAACATGTTTAAAACCGATACATAATAAATCTTAATTAGCAGTAAAAACATTTGTTTAGGCTACTATTAGAACTAATTATTTCATCCCTTTTAATTTTTTTTTTACTTCATTCAATAAGTTAATTGTAAGGAACATTTATTGAAGATATTGAAGATTATAACATACTTAAACTTATTTAATATATAATAAATTATTTTAAAATATATATTGTTATTTTACTTAATTTATATAGAGCAAAAACCAAATTTAATTAATTATTTTCATATCAGTACAAAGCAATACATTTTAATAAACATATTAATAGTATTTTTTTAAAAAATTCTACTAACATTTTGATTATCACTAAAATAAATATTAATTAAATTGATTAAATTGTAGTCATAGCTTATAGTCTAATACGTGTTAATAGTAAAAATCAAATACACAAAAAGTCTATTACATCGCATTGTACAAATAATACATACAACAAACAAATCATATGAAATACAACATTACAAAAAAAATACTATTGCCTCTACATATACCTTCATAGTATAACATTAGTCCCTGACATAAAGTGATCTAGACCTTGAAGAGGTAGCTCTTGCAAATAATATTATGCTACCACCATGCAAGTAGAACCCCTTATTATGTTGTTAGTAGCATCTTATATCTCGTCAAACAAGACTATCTGTTTGGATTGTGTCATATAATAATGCTATCGTGTTAGTCATGACCTTGACATCCAATAATATTTTGTACAATATGATATCGAGGCACAAAACTCGGTGTCTATCACAAAAAATACTTGTTAAGAAAAAAGTACAATATAGTGTATGAATGTGCAAATAATCAATGTGTTCGGTTTCAGGTCACGTCAAATGATGGCCAATATACGTAGAGTTGTAAATGAACCAATATACTCAATGAACAACTCGAACTCGGCTTGATAATGTTTGTTCAAATTAGTAAATAAACAAGCTTGAACAATTTGTAAAAGCTTGAAGTCTAAATGAACTAAATTTATTCATTTATGTTCATGAACAAACTCTTTTGTTCTTCAACAAGTAACTGTCAAATAATCAATATTAAGTTTGATGATAACTCGTATCATATATGATATATTACTTAAAAAAAAATAATTAACTATGATTTATTTGATTATATATTTAATAGTAATATATTATTATATCAATAATATTTTTTGATTAATTACTAATTATATATTTATTTTATTAAAATTTAGATGTGAAAATACATGTCTTATGTGATATGTATGAAATGCCCTTTAAAATTAATTTTAAACCTTTGCAAACCTCACTTTCGTTCTGACCTCTCACAGTTTAGCATCTCCCAATTTTGCCAGAAACATACAAAACCCTGAGTTGCTAGGGTGTGCAAGCATCGAAGGCAATGATGAGATAGCAGTGTGCAAGGATCTATAAAACTCTAGTTTCTAATATATCTCTACTTTCCACTCTACTCAGAAGTCCTACTCGATTAAAAAAAGTTTTGAGAAAGTGTAGTGTAATCATTGTAAGTTATATATGAAAAAAATAAGAATAGTGCAATAACTCAATATAAAAGACATCTACAAAATTACCCAAAAAGCTAGGAAAATGACAAATGCATATCACTATGAGAAAAACAACACTTACATCTGAATGTGGGAAATTTATGCAAACTTAAAAGTATGATTATGCTAAAATATGAGAGATTACATTTCATCTCATATGATCATAATTCATGAGTTACATTTCAATTTTACAAAATTCATAATTGATAAATTAGTAGATGTGATCAGATTTGTAAAATTATTTATATGAAAATCTAAATACTCGTTTGAATTGTTAGCTCATTTAAATACTCATTCACTTGTCATAAACAAATCAAGTTCAAACATTGAAAAATATAAATAGGTCAAGCTTGAACAATATATGAAAAAGCTCGACACAAGCTCAACCCGAATGCGAACAACTTAAAATTATACAAAGCCAAGTCTGAACTATGACATACTCGGCCAGATTACAACCCTAACTGTACTTAGGAAAAAGCGTTGTTTGGGCATGCAATAACATACACTGGTAATATGCCAAGATATGCAAGGGGCAAAGAATCAATGTAAGTAGACGGTCCAAGGTCTTGAGCTTTAAGTCAAAGAGACTTGTGCAATAATATCATACTCTCTATACTAATCTGCATGCCTATCATTCGTAACATACATGTTCTGAAGAACTTCACTTTACGATTATATCCAATTTATTGATTGTTACATAGGATAATCCTCATCTCTACCAAAGAATGATTGTGATGTCTGCTCAGACTCCAAAAAATAGTAATGTGGAGAAATTAATGCATAATATAATAGCATATGCAATATTTAATTATTAGAGAAACAAAAATGCACAAACATACCAATATTCTTTCTACTTGGATTCTACTAATAGGTCAGTGTATTTATCGATGACTTCAATAAATATAGTTGATCCCATAATCAATAACAATGTATGTACCATTTTAGTTATATATCATCACCTTGATGACAATGATTGAATTTGATAATAAGTGTTGTAGGTTACTCCATAATGCAATATGTGTACAATGAAAGTCGACCCAATCAACATCCATACTCCCTCTTCAATCTAATCTTCAAAACCTAGTAAAAAGAGTGTGAGGGAATGGGTAAAGAGTTGAGAGTTGGGGGTTGGGGTGGGGTGGAGGGGGTTGTTGTGGAATGATAGACGTAAACTTGTTATCCAATATTGATATCATGAGGGTAATGATAGATGACTAACATAATACTTACATCATGGGTTTCGCTGTATTTACTGAAGTCATCGATAGAACCACAAACGGCCAACTACCATGGAATAAAAGAGAATACCAATATGTTTGTGCAGTTTTAATTCTCTATTATTAAATATTGCATGCATTACTATATTATGTTTTATTTTTTAGCACCACTACTTGTAAATTTTAGGAGACATTACTATTATTTTTTAGAGGAGACGAGGATTGCTCTATGCAGCATGCAACAATCGAATCAAAGCTTGAGCGTAGAGGATTACATTGATCCTAATACCTCCACAACCATGCTACAATCCAGACTTTAAAAGAAGACTAAGGATTTGCTATCTCACACACACACTTAAATAAAAACTAACACAATATTCAAATCCTAGAAAATCACAGAACAATACAGAAATATAAACACATCACACAGCATGAATTGTCTCCCAAGAAGCGCTTAGTTTAACGTCCTCAGCCCGACGAAATTAGATGTTACTTGGAATAATCCAGCATCAAAATCTAATTGAAAAGCGGTCTTTCCCCTCCTAAGTAAGGTTTAAGTCTTTGTCCATTTACTTTAAATTCTCTACCGCTTTTAAGGTCTTTTATATCGATCAAATTCTATCACTAATAATTTAATATAAAAAAATAAATCAAAAGAGCCACTAAAAAACGTTTTCATTAACAAATAAAAATTATCTTTATGGTTACCAGCCTCTTCCCCTATACACGTTAGCTCCTCTAGTATTCAACTTATTTAAAAACTTAACATGAAAATATATTAAAATAACATAATGAGTTATCTTAGATAGTTGAGGAACAATCACACTTCTAAACTACAAAGATTCAAGGAAAATAAAACAATATGCATGCTAATCTTACATATTTCTATAATAATCTAATGTATATGTCCATGGTATTTATTTAATGAAATAAATTTATACTTCGATAACCATTAACTTTAATTGTACTATTCAAGATTTAATCTTTAACTTTATTTTACTTTATATTATTAACATTCACATCTGTCTTAAGAGAATCGTCAAAATATAATCTAACACACCCCTGACCGATATTATAATGTCAAAACAACGGTTCGTGATTTAATTTACACGATTGTCTGAGGTGGAAATGTGCCTACTTATACTCGACCGATATTCTCCCGTAGGCACAAAAATTAGCGATCTAAACATCATAATCATTTAGGGTGATAGGATAATATCTATGCACAATTGTACATTGACATCTCCTGCCTGTATAATAAAGGGGTAAACTCCATTTAGCATGCACATATAAGCATTCATATATACTTCATTCTTTATATCATACATTTTTTCCATATGAAACACTTTAGCTCTATTTATTGATGAATAAATGAATCTTATTAAATCCATAGGTTATGCAATAAACTGATATATAAACTTACACTGAAATCTACGTAATATGCAATCATCAAATTTTTTCTTAGAAAAACTATAACACAACTGTTTAACATGCATATT